TAAAGAACATAATTTTACGTGACAAAAAAAAAGAAAAAAATTTGGGCAAAATCGGTTGAATAGAAACTGAAAATTCGAAATTTAAATATCTAACTTTTTTTTTAAATTTCATGTCTCAGGAACTATTTCAACCGGTTTTGCTCAAATTTAGTATTTTATCATATAAAGTTATATGATTTTAAATGATGTAAAAAATTGTGTACTTTAAGAATCAAAATTTTTTCGACCTTTATTAAATAAAATAATAAAAAATCTTTACTAAAAGTTATTTTTTTATATGGAATTATCTTTAGATAAACGAATTCTATAATTGTGTGCAAAAAGTTTTTAATTCGCTGAACAATTTCTCGAGATATAGTGAAATACCAAAAAATGTAAAATTAACATTAAGGGGTCCAAACTTTGGATCACTCTCTTGACCAAACTATAGGGACCATATTTCCCAGATTGCGGCTACTTCATACATTTTGAAGGTCAAAAATCCGAAACCGTAAAAAAAAAGGTATGTTAATTCAAAAAAAGTGCGTTATAAGTGGCTGATTTGGTAACTTAAAATATCGTCTGCACAAATTAATTAGCATATTTGGATCACCCCCTTGAAGCATTAAGATTGAGTCCTAAAACATGACGATCCGATCATTAGATCAAAAGTTATTCAGTGTGGTGCTTTTTTTTTATTTGGTGTACTGAACGTTTCTCTTCCTTTCCGTTGTTTGTGTTTAAAAAAGCTTTATCCCTGAGACATCGAAAATTTAAAAATATAGGTTTTCTTCATAACTGCTCAACTCCGTCGTTTTTCGTGTTGAGACTATCGTTTCAACTGAGTTTCAAAGTGAGTTTAGTGTGAGAATAACATTTCGATTAAAAAGTAGGTGTTGCTAATTGAAAATATCCGAAATTCTATAACTGAATTCGTGACAAGTGAATAATAGATTCTTACACTATTCTGGGGAGCTCCTTAATTTTTAAGGCTTTTACATAAAATATAATGTCCTTGTCTCGATAGAACGCAAAATACAATAAAAAAATTTTAAAAAAAAAAGAAAAAGAAAAAAAAAACAGCTTGATGATTCAATTACTAGATTTTCAAGTAGTAAATCTTATTCATTTAAAGGATTGTGTTTAAAAGGATAACTAATCAACAGTGCAAACGATACATTATACCAGAAAATCTGACGCGAAAACGTTCTTTCTTTGAATTAACGTGCCGTTTTTCGAAGGATTCGAAGGCGTAATCTGAAAAATATAGTCTCAATAACCTAGGCAGAAAGCGATCAAAACAATGGTCCCCTTAAAGTTCCATTCACACTGAATAGTATCAAAAGAGTTGTATTTTTGAATTTTCATTTCTCAAGAACTGTTTGACCGATTTCGATCAAATTTTGGCTTTTTCCTTAAGAAGTGCTTAAAAATAATGTCTTTTTAACTCAAAAATTATTTGACTATTATTAAAATAAATGATAAAATTAACTTTTTGTATTTTCCTTTTTCTTGTGCTTACTGTACAAGTACATTTATACGATTTATGTTATTATCACGTCTTCTAAACAACTAAAAGCTTTCTTCCACTGCCTTAGTGTTTTATTATGCAGGCAAATATGCTATTTCTTACTTGAAGCTTTAACAGTTTAGAACTTTCTAAAGACAATTTATGCATTTTAAATAATTTGTTTACATTTAATATCTCTTTAGCTAGCTTTTAATTTAATTTGCATAAGATGTGTAATATGATGTCTTAAGACTCAGCTCTAAATCATTTGCATAACAAACAAATCAACTATAAAATTATTCCACCTACGTCAATTTATCTTAAGGGCTTTAGTGGGTGAAATAATTATGCAGTAATCAATGAAATAAGCAAGGCGAATAGTTTGCTGTAATTGAAGTCTAACCCTCCTTTGAGGTTTAGAGGTGAAAATCTTCAGGAGTGAATGGACTTTTCCAGATATAACTAGATTTATACATATTTAAAATTTTTAATGGAAATTGAGCACTCAAATTAGATCGCCACAACCTAACTTTAAAGTCGATGGATTTAAGTAAAATATTTAATTCTGAGCATTAATTTCTAGATTTCTGACCGAATGAAACGTGCAATAAAGATGACTTGTAAAATACACAGCACTAAATTTTTAGTCGAATATTTGTCGACCCTTTGACTTAATTTAGGCCAAAATAAGTTCAAAAAAATCCTATATTTATGGTTATGAAATACAGTGTGAAACACCGGTGTCGTTTTCTGCATTAAAGTTAAGAATTCCAAACACTGCTCACTTCCAAACAATAATTTTTCAAATTTGCACTTATTAGCAGTTATTTAGGCCTAAGAGAAACAGGTATTTATCATTGAAATTACTACCTTCATTTACAAAATCAACCGTTGATAAATTTTTGAAAATGAATGGAAAAAAAATTCTAATAAATTTTTTGTATTTTATATTTTAGTACAAATATGCTTGCAATAACCTAACAGATTTTTTTAGTAAGTATTAGATTGTTTTTTATAATTAAAAATACCAAAATATATTTTTGCATGTAATTAGAGTATGAAAAAAATATATATTAAAGGGACGTCTAATGGTAAATAAGGGACGCCATCTGTGTCTAATGGTATGTGCTTGTAGCCTTAAGTTATAATTTTCTTTAAAATCCCTGTACTACAAAAAAAAAATTCTTATATTGTTTTCCTGAAATAGTCTCTCATAACGATTACAAGAAACTTTAGCCATTCTCAATTTTTCATTTGAATTAGTCCTGGGACCCTTTTTATAAAATTTGATACTTTCAGGACTCTGCAGCCTTTCTTTGAATATCTGCCACAATTTAGAAACGCTCTTTTTACAGAAGTATTTTGAAGTATCTATGCTTTTTCTTTTAATAAAAATTATTTGACAAAAAGTTTTCAATCTAGTTTAAGTTTATTTCCAACCTCGAAGTGTATAATTAATGTATTTCATCATGTTATGCATTTATCTTTTTAATAAAATTGAAGGAATTGCTGTCGAAATATAAATCTCACAACTTTTTTGTTGTCAAAAATTACTTGCTTTTAGATTCACTATATCTATGAAAGGTACGATAATATTTTTCAATTCATCCTTAACAAGTCCGAAATTTCCCACATTAATTGTACCTGTGACTACCTTTTTCAATTATTGAAAATGAAATGTAAGAAAAATGCTATTTTTATTACATTTTTTATACTTCTTTGAAATAAGAGGACATGTATCATTATTATGAACTTTTTAGCAAGTGAATAAAAATAACAAATGAATTAAATGTGAATTATGTTTTCTGTGAATAAATAAATCTTTCTTGATGGTTTCGATGGCTTTAATGACAATAAATTATAGCAATTTTTGATGAAACCTCTTCTCAAAAACTAGAGGGTAGACACAAGTAAGTAAGAAATATGTAAGCATAATGCGCAAAAAAATTAATTACTCTGAATAATTTTTAATTTAATGATTGGATTTTCACGTACTAGGACTCAGTCTTAATGGTTCAAAAGGTGACTCAACTATGCTAGTTACATAGAGCTGACGACTATTTACGATACGAAATTAAACACAAAAAGTACTTTCTCTGAATAATGCATACATATTTTTCGCGACCAATTTGGTATCCTAATCCTTTCCCCAAAATATAGTGAGCCGCAATCCGGGAAATATGGTCCCGATAATTTGGCCAGGAGAGCAGTCCAAATTGTGGACCCTTTTAATGTTAATATTGCTTTCATATCTCGAGATTTTATTAAGCAAATCAAAAAAATTTTGCACACAACAATAAAATTTAACCATAATTCATACCACGCAAAAAATGGTTTTTAAAAACATTTATTACTTTTTACTTAAAAGTGTTGCTCAAATTTCAACTCATCTTGTTTCAACCAGTAACCAAACAGATTTTGGCGTTTTCAGTTCTGCTAAGTTTTGTTAGATTTGCCGCACATTTCAATTGCCGTTGAAAATGTATTGGATACTAAGATATCCACAATTTTTAAAATTTATTTATCAGCGTTATCAATAACGGAAAATTTTTGTCTGACTATCCAGAATTGCTTGACTTTTAACTCGTACTCGGTGTTTGATGATAATAAGAGTTTTAAATGCTTTTTGATAACTGCAAACAGAACTGATCGCCATTTATTACGAATTAAAAATTCAATCAAAATTTTAGCTACATTACAAGTAGTTAGATTGTTTAAGTTTCAACTGGAGTTTTCAATCTGATGATAGTACAAGTTACAGTTGTTTCCTAAATGTTGCAAGCAAAATGTATCGCCAATTGAAATTTCGACTGTTTTCTGACATTAACAAACTTGCGCGGCCCAGGTGCCCAATTTTTTATAAATAAAATAAAACATTAACAAATTCAAAGCTAAACAAAAAGGAAATAACGAACTAAAATTTTAACACTAAGGTATATTATTTAACACAAGATAAATAATGGTATTTGTCAGATTTTTTTTCTCCACCCGAAACGAAAAGGAATTAGGGTCATTACTTTCATTCTAAACCATTACACTTTCCCTCCACGTCTTTCGTAAGTGATGCACCTATGTATTTCGTTTTAGGCCTCACAAAAACAAAATTAATCTATTGAAAAATATAGTTTTTAAAATTTTTAATTCCTTTTATTATATTTTTTATTTATATAGTTAGAAACTTTGATATATTAAAATATTGTTTTTATCCAATAAATTAATTCATGACAAAATCCTAGATTGTTTAAATTTTTTCATTACAGATTTTAAAAATACATTATTTTTTAATGCTTTACAAATTATTATTCATTGATTCATTTTACTTGTGTGTTCGTAATCTTTTTTTAAATGTTATTATTATTTTTAGAATTAACTAAAGAATATTTAAAATATTTCGTGAATATGTCAAATAGAATTTCATCTCGGAATATTTTATATTACTTATTCTCTAAGCCTATAGCATTTTGATGCGATGTATATTATTCAACGGCACAGAATTTGCGCTAGGGGGCGTGTTCTTTAGAATATGGGAGCGCTTATTTAACTCTTCCGCGGATCGAAAGTTTCGCATTTCTGGGATATAGCTCTCACTTTCTAGAAAGCGGAGAATATTCCTTTAACAAACTAAAAAATAAAATGATTTCTTACCTGAAAACGATTTTAATTACCGCTTTCTTTCTCTCATGTAATAGCGAGGAATCATCGAATTCTAAATCCGGACTATGGAAAACCGCTGAACAAATGCAGGTAATTTAATCAGCCTTTTTATGACATTTCTAAGTTTTAAACGTTTGATTTAAATATAAATTAACAATTTCTTAAAAAAGAACTTTTTATAAAGTGTAAACATCAAACTTATTACAGTAAAAACTAAAACTGAGACATTATTTTAGAGTTCAAAACAATTGTTGAAGAATATTTTTTTAGGAACTAAAAAGAATTATTTCTTACTTGAAAACGATTTTAATTGCCACTTTCTTCCTCGCGTCCAATAGCAAAGAATCATCGAATTCTAAATCCGGACTATGGAAAACCGCTGAACAAATGCAGGTAATTTAATCAGCATTTTTATTATATTTCTTAGTTTCAAACGTTTGATTTAAGTATAAATAAAAAATTTCTCAAAAAAGAACTTTTTATAAAGTGTAAGCATCAAAATTATTACAGTAAAAACTAAAACTGAGACATCATTTTAGAGTTCAAAACAATTGTTGAAGAATATTTTTTTAGGAACTAAAAAAAAATGATTTCTTACCTGAAAACGATTTTAATTGCCACTTTCTTCCTCGCTTGTAATAGCAAAGAATCATCGAATTCTAAATCTGGTTCATGGAAAAACAGCTAAACAAATGCAGGTAATTTAATTAGCATTTTAGTCGCATTTCTTAATTTTTAACGCGTGATTTGTAACTAAAAATTTCTGAAGATAGAACTTTTACAAAGTGTAAACATCGAAAAACAATGCAATGAAAATTAAAATTGAGACATTGCTTTAGAGTTTAAAACAATTATTCAAAATGGCTTTAATATGAAATTGATATTTTTTTAATTATTGCATCATTTGCGCCATGAATTGTAACGTTTAAAAAAATATTAGGGTCTTTTACTTATATTTACAAAAAAGAAAAAATATAGTTAAACTCTTACATTAAATACATTTTGCTTTATGTTTGTCAAAATTTTATCTCACTCACAAAATTTGTGTAGCATTCCTTACTTTATAAATTTTAGTTTGCGCGTAATTGAAACATTTATATATTCTGAACATTTAATACAGTTCGAGGAAAAAAAAGAAATATTTTTTAAGTTATGAAAAAAATAAATGTATGAAATTTTCACTTAATTTGTCAAAAATAGTATACTTTCATTAAGAAGTGCCTACTTGGCCCGAATTTTTTCACAATTTTTTTTGAAAATTTATGCTATTAAAACAGAAAAATATTATTGATGGCCTTTCCATATTTAATATTTGTTACAAATCTGTTTTTGTGTAGTGCATTTATTTAAACTTTCAATGTCCAATAAAAAAAAATTGAGATTTTTAAAATATTGCGGGCTTAGAGCTACTTAAGGCCGTTTATTTTTTTTTTTTTATCTTTTTATCGATTTTTTTGAAACAAATATGACATTCTTTTTTTTAACGAAATGATCTGAAAAAACTGGCAATAATATAGTTATAGATAATTAAATGAATGCTTGCAACCTGAACCTTCTTTTAAACCACTTAATTTGTTAACCATTGTGGTAATTAAAAAAAGTGAATTGAAAAAATGAATAGAAGTTAATAAATAATGAAAAAAAAATATTTTTCTGTAAAAAGATGAAAATAATTTGTAACAAAACATCGAAAAAAATTACTGACACGTCATTTTATAAAACTACTACAAGTAGTTTTCGAAGTAATCTTGGAAGCTACTTTAAATAAAAAAATTAATAAATAAAGTAAAATTAATAAATAAATAAAAATTAAATTTAGTAAAAAAATAAAAATTAAAAAAAAATGTTTTTCCATAAATAATAGAAATCATTTAAAACAAAACAGAGAAAATATTTAATATCACGTTATTTTATGAAATATTTCGTAATATTGCTTTCATACTTTAATTTTTACTTTTCCAGTATGCTGTTGAAAGCTTATGAATTTAAAAATGTTGTACTTTGTACTGATATATATATATATACAATGTTTACAATATCTCTAGCACAACCATAACAACGCTTTATGAATTCCCAAAGCAAAATTAATACCTCTCCTTAATGCCTCTTAAACTTTCTTTAATTAGAAATTTATCTTAATACTTTAAAATGATACATCTTTTACTAATAGTTGGGCCAAAGTTGGGTCTACCTACACTATGTTATTTTGCCTTAATTTTCTTTTAGAAAATGATTTTTAAAACCTTATATTTACTTAAACAATAGTAATATCACAACATTATTCGATTCGACAGCAAATTTTAAATTGTAAGTACCTAATTTTTGACACTTAATATAATTATATGTAAGTTTCGGAATAAGTAAATTATTGTTTCTCTTCTTCTCAATAATAAAACCTTAAATTATAAAAGTTTTTTTCATTTGTGTTTTTCTTCAACATTTCATATTTTTTATTAATATTAAAACTCAAAATTTACAATAGAAATGAAAAAAGTTTATCTTTCTAATCAAAATTTACAATTTTCTAGATTTTTTTTTATCTATATTATCGAAGAAAGTTTCAACTTCCTTTATCAGCGGCTTTCAATCGGTGTTACACTGAAAATATTTCTTTCTCCAACATTTCTAATTAATGTTAAAAATTAAAAATTCACAAAAAAAATTTGAAGAAGAACAAATTTTAAAATTTTATCTTTAGCAATCGGGTACGACGAAAAGAAAAAAATACAAAATTTTACATTGATTTTCCTGCTATGCATAGATTTTTTAATAACTGTGCAGCACTGGGCCGTTAGACAAAATCTTAGCAGGTTGACAAAAGCTAAGCAGCGTAGTTGATCTTATGAAACAATTTCCCTCGTATACTTTTGTCATGTTAAACTTTTGTTTATTTCGCTTACGTTGATTGCGGAAAAATAATCTACGTCTTCGGGAAAGATAATGTTGTTAAACGGAGAAAGTTTTAACCGTAAAACTCAGTCTTACCAGACCCGAACCCGTGATATGCCCTTTCGAAAACAATATCCAACAAGGTAAGATTGAAATTCACATAAATAAGAAAGACAGAACGCGTATTTTACTGTCAGGTATATGGAGAGACAAGTACATTTACAAACTTTTATTAGTGGCGTTTTTTTACGCTCTCTGCTTTAATAACTCCACATTTTTTCATAAGATTTGATTATAAAAATTTTACATCATAATGTAATTGCCGTTGAAGATTGCTTTGATTTTGTATAAAAGTTTTAGTTAATTAAATGAACAGTTAAATTTTTGTTGGTTAATTTGCATTAATCTATACTAATATTTAAATTGCTGTGCATGTGAGTTTTAGTATGTAACATAAAAATCATTTACGCATGTTGTTGTTTGACTTAGAGACTGAGTTCTGGTAAAATTATAAATGGATCCTTGCTTCTGACTGGGTAGAGAACTACTAGTTTATTTACATGACAGGGTGTGCGACATCCATCTGTCGAGCAGCTCGCACAAAAAGCTGAATAATTTATCCAACCTGATCTTCTTTTGTGGTTTAAGGGGAAAGTTGTGTAGAATATACTTGATTAAAAAAGTACATGCATATCTGCTTCAAGAAAAAAAATAATAAAAGTGCCATGCTGTGGAGGAAAAAGTTACATTTAAGATTAATATTTGCTTAGGTTATCGACTTTTCATTGGAAATCGTGTGTGCTAGTTAATATGCTATATTAGCCTGTAAGTCTTACAGCCTATATTCGGAGTTTCGTAATGACCACCCTTAATTATATATTTTCAAAATACTTTTTTCTAAAATGAAGTCAAATTGGTATGATATTAAAGGAAGCAAATTAAGGAAAGAGAGGCTGAAATTATCAAAGCGTGTTTGATTGCCACAGGAAATAGAGGGCTTACGATTATGAGTGTTAGATACTCCATCCAGTTTTACCAAACTGTTTTTGATGTTTTTTCGTCCCTTTTTCGTCAATAGTGATACATCCGATTTTGCAAACCATTATACCCTTACCCCATTCTGCAAAATATTTCTTTGACTTCTCTTTTTACTGGGATTCTAAAAATATAAATTAAGGATGGCAATTACGGAACATCCTATGCATTACAAATGCTGTTTGTTAAAATTCGAATCGAAGCTTGTTTTGTCAGATGCTGTAAATGTAATATACTTTAAGCCACATTGCTGTTATTAACTTTTAAGTTGTGACAAACAGTATTTACGCTTTGCAGAACTAATTTTTAATTTTAATAATGAAAAAAAAATTCCTTTCTTTAAAGTCGTGAAAAAAGTATTCTCCAATTAGGGTCATAAGCTATATGAGTTGATGCTCATATGGATCATTTAAAAATAAATGTATACCTCTTAATGAAGGATATATAAATTAATTTACAAGCAGGGTTAGATTGAACAATAATTGATTTATTCAAATAATCGCTTCCCAGGAATGAGTAGAGATTTTGATTAATCTATTAATCAAGTGACTAATAATAATTACTTCACCTTTGGGGTCATAACTTACCACTTTTGGAGAAATATTGGTCATATTATTTTTAGTGTACCTAACTGTACAAATATATTATTTTGATAAATTCTATTTATTTAGTGCTTTAAAAGTTTTGTGCTTATCTAATTGATAAATCAAATAATAACTATTCAGTTAACTTTGATAATTTTTTTCTCTTTATATAACTAAATAATTTGATTTTAAGATTAAAAAAAATTTTGTCTCGATTATGTGAATTAGAATCGAAGAGGTTGTTCGCTTCGGACGCTTTTATATTTCTGGGGGGGGGGAATTTTTAACAAAATATCTATGTTTTCAATCAGTATCTAATTAACGAGAATTATGATGTACTACGCAATATTAATGGCTACAAAACATTAATAAGGAATAAATATATAATTATGTTCTGAAACTCTTCTAATATGACTTTTGCAACAATCAATTAAACTCTGACGTCTTGACTTAAATCTCTTTACGCCAAGTAGCTAATGAGGTCATAAGTTTGGCTTTCCATCCTTGCTGGTCAAGAATTGCTTCCCTTGCACTCTGCCAACTGGACCAACCCAGGATGTTTCCTTACTATCATTTGTCTGT